AGTCTCTCATTTCTCAGATCTGAGTTCTCATACTCAGTCTATTATAAGAGCAGATTCTCTGTTTTTATCATTCAGTTTATTTACTCTGTAAGCTTCAAAGACACTACAGTGAGCTGAGATCTCAAGTTCATTAATACTTTTCATACTTGTGAGATTCTAGTACTGTAGTACAGTCTCTTTCTATAAGTATATACTGTTATTAAGAGAGTAACAGATTCAGATATCAGCTTTAAAACTCTTAAGAAAATAGTTACTGACTCTGTTAATAACTTCTTAAATTTCTATTTCAGTTTGTTAAAATAGTTTATATAAAGATATTCTAGTTTAAAACAGATAAAACAGAGACGCTTTTTCTCAATCTCTCTAAAATGTTTTTACAGTATATAAGTTATTATTATTATTATTATTCTTAAATTATAGATGTATGCAGTCAGAGACTATGACATCTACCTAAGAACTTTTAGTTCTCAGAGTTTTTCCTATATCTCTAAAGTCAACTATTATACATTTACCAATTTCAGATATGTAAAATCAGAAAATTTCAGCTCAGAATATAAAAACTGTTTATAAATTGCAATATTTTAACACCTTCTGATACTTTGAAATCATTTGATAATATCATGACAAAAGAAAAGAGAACATAGTCTTAAAGATAGACACATTAAATAGATAGATAGAAAAGAATAGAAAAGAAAAAGTAAAGTAAAGAGAGACTATAATAAAACAAATTGTTAAAAGATAGTATATAGCTGTTTTAACAGATTATATCTGATCAATTTCCTTCTCTTCATATTCAGATATTTCTGAATTTAGTTATTTTCTTGTAGCTGCTTGAGTTTCTGATAGAAAGTCTATTAAGTATTTGATTTCTGTCTCAGTTGAGAATAAGAATCTTATATTTAATTGATTTAGATTATACTTCTCTTTCAATCTGACTCTGAGACTATTGTATAATACACAGTGTATTATAATATACTCAGAATTTTCATTTGTATTACAGAATGAGCATTCTATTAAATCAAATCTATCATCAAATCTTTGTATATAAGATTTAAAATAATCATATTCTAGTTTCAGCTGGATTATAGATGAGAATATTTTCTTTTTATATTTAATTAAATAAGATTTTCACTTAGATTTTGTTTTAAATCTTAAATAATATATACTCTTCTTTTATTTTGATCAGCTTTTATTTCACTTATCTAAACAAGATTCTTTTATCTTTCTATTTATAAAAGATCAGAACACTATTTTTTGAATAAATCTACTTAATTCTGAACTCTTTTTTACAGCTGAATCAGTCAATTCATTGTCATAAATATTCATATGAGCAGAAACTCAGTGCAGATGAATTATCAGTTGTAATATTCTTCTCTTTTAAATTTTTAAAACAGAGTTTAAAATCAGTTCAAGATTCATTTGATCATTATAAATCTGACTATTTCTAAGTCTTTTTAAAGCAGCTTGACTATCAGAGAATATTCATATCTCTTACAAACTATTTTATCTTTTATGAGATTTTATTTCAATAAGTTTAAAAGCTTTCACTATTATAAATAGTTCAGTATTAAAGACTTCAGATTCACAGTCTAAATTTCAAAAATCTGAGATAAAATTAATATTATCTTCAGTATAAGCAATGTCTGTAAATAATCTATTTAAATTCTCATTTTTTGAGTTATCTGAATAAATCAGAATAGAGTCTTTTATATTAATTATAGAGATTCTCTTCAAATACTGTTCATATTCTCTCTCTTTTGATAGTTCACTTATTTATAAGTCTATGAGAGATTCAAGCTTTTCTCTTCAGAGAGATATCTTCTCATGATTTACTTTTTCAATATTTAATGAAGAAAATTGATTTTTAATCAGTGAGTATAGTCTGTATAGTTAAGAGAATATTTTCTTTAAAGAATCATTTTCATTTTAATCAAGAAATCTATTTCAATTCAGTTCATTTTCTGAGTTAATTAATGAAAATGAAGAAGAGACTCTTTCTCTGATTATATAATTTAAGCTTATCTTTATAACTCTCAGAGTATAGTTTATACAGATCTTTTCAAATCTAATAGCAGAAGAAGGAATTGAAGCTTCAATTTTCATTGCTTTAATAGAAGATGATTTGAATGCTCTCAGAATTCTTCTCAAAGCTCTGTTTTACTGACTTTGAAAAAGTTCAGTGAAATTTTCTTGATTATTTCATTAAACTTGAACTTCACAATCATCTACTGAGATAATACAGGCTATATATAACTGTTTCATAGTCTGAAAGAATAGATCTCTCTCTGTATTTAATAGTCTGTTTATGTTACTTAATAGTCTTTCTATCTTAATAGTTCTTTATTAAATATGATATTTAAAATTCAACTTGAAGTTTAATCATACTTCTAATCAGTTAACATTTAAACTGAGTTTAATCTCTTTATTTAAAAGAGTTAGGTATAGTTCTTTCTCATTGAATCTAGAAAAGAAATAAATTAACTCAGTTTTATTTATATTAAATTAAATTTAATTAATATCTGCTCTAACAAAGATTTTCTTTACTACTTTTTTAATCATTTCTAAATTCTCTTTGATTGTTTTGAAACTGTAGACTAGATCAATATCATTCATATAACTTAAAGATCTCACTACTTTCATGTCTAGACTGACCGTGTGACCGTGTCTGAGACCAGGACCAGATTTTTTGACAGTCTCATTACCAATTCAACTGATCCCATTACATGGTTTTAACATTAGATAGTAGTTTCATACTGTCTCAGTGAGACTTACTGTCTACTCTTATCACATTTTTCAAATGAGACCATGATTTTCACTTCTCAATTTAAATTATTTTTATTGCTTTAAATGACTTTAAATCTCATTTAAGTATTATCAAAGAGCATTACTTTTTAAAAAATTAAAAATAGTCTAAAAAAAACCTTAAAATGTCTAAAAATAGTAACTTTATGCTAAGAATGGAACTAAATAAGATTAAATGAGATCACTTTCTCATTTTTTTCAAGTCATGATTTCATTTTAAGATCTGATATATAGTCACTTTACATGTTTTTTTGATAGCCAGTCCCAGCGGGATTCACGCCAAGAAATGTATGAGACCAGATCAAATGAGATCAAATGTGAAATTCATGGTCCCGGCGGCCAGTCTATTCATATCTCTATTCTTGAATAGATATACAGTGTATATTATAAATAAAATGAGTGAGATTGAAGATTCTTACAATACTTCTATTTTTATCTCAGTCTTATCTTATTTCATTTCATTAAAGAATAGTTGTATAATTCTTTTAGATATAAAACAGTTAACTCATTTTATTAGAAAAGATAGCAGTTTTAACATCTTCAAAGTCTTAATTAACTTTGACTTTGAAACATGATCCAATGCATCTTTTATATCAATAAAAACTACAGTTGAGACTAGATCTTCATGCTTTGCTATTTGAATCTTATAAACAACTGAGAGAACAGTGTCAATTGCAAAGCATTGTTTTCTATCTCTCATTTATTCACTAAATAGAAGAGAATTATTAATAGAGCTTATAAAAGATAGTTAAGTAGCTATTATCTCTTCTAAAACTTTTTCTAGACAGTTTCATAGAGATATTACTCTACATAACTTAGAAATTGAAGCTTTTCTATTAGGTTTTGCAAGGAATAGTATATAACTCTTGATATGCTAAGTATTGCAGAACTAGTTTATATTAGAAAACAGTAATTCTACAGACAGATTACTACTATATTGAATATTTTCATTATTATTATTCTTCTCTATAAATCATTAATTTGTACTCTATAATAATCTATTTTTTTAAAAAAAAAATGTTCATGTAACTCATAAACTATCTAATTATTTTTAATAAATTTTATAGTCATTTCTAAGAGACTCTGAACTAGACTGACTGCTGAGATCATAAATTTCATATTTAATCTTATTTAGTCTGATCTTACACATTTCTTAGCATGAATTTCTCTGAAACTAGTTATTAAAAAAACATGTAAAGTGACTATATATCAGATATCTAAATGAAATCATAGCTTGAAAAAAATGAGAAAGTGATCTCATTTAATTTCATTTAGTCTCATTCTTGACATAAAGTTACTATTTTTAGACATTTTAAGGTTTTTTTTAGACTATTTTTAATTTTTTAAAAAGTAACACTTTTTGATAACACTCAAATGAGATTTAAAGTTATTTAAAGTAATAAAAATAATTTAAATTGAGAAGTGAAAATCATGATTTCATTTGAAAAATGTGACAAGAGTAGATAGTAAGTCTTACTAAGACAGTATGAAACTACTATCTAATGTTAAAACTGTGTAATAAGATCAGTCAAATTGATAATAAGACTATTAAAAATTCTAGTTCTGATCTCAGACATAGACTCAGTTACACAGTCAGTCTACTCTGAAAATGATTTAATTTTCTTTGAAAAGAGATATACTATTATCTTTGATGAAGACTAAGACTATAATAACAGCAGTAAATTATTTATAGAGAGAGAGATTCTATTTAATAATTATAATGAATTTTTTTTTCTTCTTTTTCTTCTTCTTCTCTTTCTTCTTCTCTCTTTTCTTCATTTTCATCTTTATTTTCATTTTTTTCCCTATTTTCATCTCTTTCTCTATCTTTACTTTTATCTTTATTTTTAGTGCTATATGCAGTCTTCTATTTAATAGAATAGTTTAAATTAACTGTAAAAACTGTATAAATCTGCAGCTATATTCATACAGAATATATAAAAAAAATATATTTACAGTCAATTCTTTGATTGTTTATAAAGAAGAAATCAGAAGATTTATAGAATTAGTGTGAATTATAAACAAAGAACTAGTTAAATCTTTGCAGAGATAGATTATATTACATTTCTATAAAGAGTGTTTTATTGTATTGCAGCTGCAGCAATTGCAGCAATTGAAGCTGGAATTGTCTGTTTAATGAGTGATGACTATCTATACAGACTGTTGTGACTTTCTATACAGGCTGCTGCAGCTTTCTCTACAGGTGGTCACATGGGGTGTGCATTTTTTCAATCAATCATATCACAGAATGGGGCCTGCAAGATCGCATCTTCTATTCTAATCAGGTTTTGAAAAAACCTAACATATTGCTTCGCTTCGCTCTGCAAATAAATATACCTTCGGCCTCTCTTATTATTTATATTCATGATGGCATCGAAGCCGTACAATGTCGGCATCATCGGATACGGCTTGAGCGCCAAGATCTTCCATATCCCCTTCATCAGCTCTCTGCCGGAATTCAATTTCTACGCCATAGTGCAAAGAACGCCTAAATCAGATGATGACGCTGAGAAGGACCATCCAGGCATCAAAAGCTATAGATCGGCGGAAGAGATGGTCAAAGATGCGGGAGTCGATGTGGTGGTCGTGACGACTACTCCGGACACTCATTTTGGCCTTGCTAAACTGGCATTGGAAGCTGGAAAGCATGGTATGCCAGCAGCGAGCGTGCTCCTGTTATATATATATATACTAACCAAGCGGTCCTCCTCGCTATTTTATAGTTATCGTGGAGAAACCGTTTACGCCCACTCATCAGGAAGCGGATGAACTGGTCGCGATATCAGAGAAGCAAAATCGCATGATTTCTGTATATCAAAGTAGGTATTGAGAGGCAGGATGTGGAACTCGTATATCCCCGCATATCTATCATTTGGCACAAAATAAACTCTAACTTGAACTTCCATAGACCGTAGGTGGGATGCCGACTTTGTTACAGTCTCAAAACTGGTAAAAAGCGGCGCCCTTGGCCGAGTTGCTGAATTTGAGACTCATTTCGATCGCCATCGCCCTGAGATGCCCGCGACTCGCAGCTGGAAAACTAACACGATACCTGGAAGTAGCGCCCTATATGATCTGGGGACTCATCTTATTGACCAGGTTGTCCATTTGTTTGGTCTTCCAAAGAAAGTAACTGGCTTTATTGGCTCCCAGAGGGAGAGCAATGAGTCCGGGTATGAAGATTCGTTCACGCTGCTTCTCCACTACGATCATATCTTAGCTACTGTAAAGGGAACGATAATCAGCCCTGAAGAGAAGCAGTTAAGATTCTGGGTTCGGGGAGATAAGGGCAGCTTTAAAAAGGTAAATCCTCTCCGCGTCTGCCCTTGGATAAATTACCGACTGAAGGGGCACGATAAAGCTAATTTACTACCAGCACTATCTGGATATCCAAGAAGAGCAACTGAAAACCGGACTTAGACCAGGAGACCAAGGTTATGCCAAGGAGCCTAATGATAGATACGGTGAGGATTTCAAACTGGGACACCTTTTTGCTTCCCGATAACAACCACCCCGCCCACTAATCTTGGATTAATTGAGGAAAGGTATCCTTACAAGCTACAATAACGGTGCATTGCATAGCGAGGCATTTCCCACTATTGAGCCTCCCACATATGCAGAGTTCTACCGCAAATTCGCAAAGGCGTTAGCCGGTAAAGGAGATGTGCCAGTAAGCCCTTCACAGGCAAGCGATGTCATCCGGCTCGTCGAACTTGCCAGGGAAAGCTCCAAGTTGGGCAAAACATTGGATGTTTGACATGCATTCGATTGCCGTTGCGTGGGTTACTGCTTCCACCTGCTTGACATGTAGTGAGATACGCAGGTGCCCGAATTCAACAGGGTTCAAAGGTTCTCGATGTAAGGTGATCAAGGTGCTTTTCCGTCTCCATGCTCGTTTTTATCGCGATATTGTGAACTACGCTACTCTGTGACCCAAGGGTCGTCCTCCCTGGTTTAAGTAAATAAACTTTCGCGTTCCCGAATGGGGGCGATCACAAATTTGGGCCCAAACTTAATGTGGTTGGGCGATTGTTTCCGAGATGCGTTTGCACGTTAGGGAGCCAATGCCGTTTGACCTAGAGATCACGAAATGTGATATATCAATCGCCGATCTCCGTTCTCCATTATTCATCGGTTTAGCACATGCATTGCGCAAGCATGATTATGCCTCGACTGGCGGCGCAAGAGTCATCATCTCTTAGGACACCGTCGTACGTATGCACTGTCTCTAGGTTCACCCAGTCTCCGTCGATTGTAGTCAGTCTTCCCAGTAATTCCTACGCATAATAATGGCGTTGAAGCGTAGCTACGAGGCTGCGAGGTTAGGCTGTGGACGACCTGGTTAAATGCTAGAATTATCAGCCTTTGGCCTCTACGGCTCATTATCTTTTCTCACCGATCCTCCCCCCCCCCCCCCCGGGGTATGGAGTGAGGTCAGAGGGGGATGAAGTATGGTGTGATAAGTAAACGTACGTGATATAGCTGATCTACGGGTGTTAGAGTAATAGTCACTGAGCTGACGAGGAGAAAAGCACCCCATGGACATCCCCCCGTGGCACGGGTAGAGTGCACAAGACAACAGATATTATTTTCGGGTAAGTATGTGATAGATCCTCCTCAATTGTTAGGGTGTATTTTTTTTATTTGGGATGGTGACGGATGTCTGAGGACAGGATATAGAGAGAGGGGAGGCCGTGCATAGGACACGTCACGGGCGCTGTCGAGTCCGCCAGACGGAAGACAGTGAAAATGGATGTGCACTGTTGTACATACGAAACGCCGGCAGCGCTGGG